AGTCCCAAATGTAAATGTGCAGGGGATCTCCCGGGATACCGTCCCGTAGTCCCAAACATAAAGGTGCACGGGGATCTCCCGGAATACCGTTTCGTAGTCCCTAAGTAATTATACAGTACAAGGGGGATCTCTCGGGATACCGTCCTGTAGTCCCAAACACAAACTCGCAGGGTATCTCCCGGAATACCGTTCGTAGTCCCAAAATAAATATGCAACTCAATCAACATAAACAACAGTTTCAACAAGGAATTCTACAGTTTACACTAAGTTCATATCAAAGAAGACAGATAATTTTCGCTAAATATGCTGCACAGAGTTCAGATAGGCAGTTAAGGCAGTTATGATAGTTAAGGCACGTAGGCATGCTTTCCTAAGCTAAACAGGTAGTTACATATAATACCGTTGCTCAATTAAAGGAAAAACAGATATTTTGCTTAATGAAAACGGGATTTTTCAACAAATAGCCGGTGTATGCACTCGTCACCTCTAGTACATGGCGCTCATATATCAAACAATATCAAATCCTAAGGGGAGTTCCCCCACACAAGGTTAGGCAAGCCACTTACCTCGAACAAAGCTCAATCAATCCGAAATAACCTCTTTCCACGAATATCCGGCTCCGGATGGCCCAAATCTAGCCAAATCAATTGCATAACGTAAAGCTACAAACAACTAATTTAGCTAATGAAATCAAAACTAAGGCAAGAAAATAGAAAAACGCCCAAAAACTCTCCCCGGGCCCACATCTCGGAATCGGGTAAAAGTCACAAATTATGAACACTCATTCACTCACGAGTTCACTCGTACCAAAATTATCCAAATCCGATGTCAAAATCCCACTCAAAACTCAGAAATTCAATTGGGGAACTTTTCCCCAATTTTCCAAACTTTCTCACTCAAAATCCTTGATCAAATGAAGAAAACAACTATGGATAAATGAAATATGATCAAAATAGGATTAGGAATCGTTACCCAATGATTTTCTTTGAGAAACTCTTGAAAAAAAATCGCAATCCTCCGAGCTAAAAATCGAATTTTTATAGAATGAACACCAAACCCTCGAATTCTCTCTTTTTCTGCCAAACAAACCGCACATGCAGGTCCCTACTTCGCACCTGCGGAAAATTCATCGCTGGTGCGGAAATCACATAAGTGGGCTGGGACCGCATCTGCGAGCACTGGGCCGCACCTGCGACCTGCTCCTGCGGTCCCTCAACCGCTTCTGCGCTTCGCTTCTGCAAGCTCCACACCGCATCTTCGGACCCAGCTGGGCAGGCCCAATCCGTTAAGCACCCGAAACTCACCCAAGGCCCCCGGTACCTCAACCAAAACTTACCAAACAATCCTAAAACATCATACGAACTTAGTTGAGCCCTCAAATCACATCAAACGATGCAAAAATCACGAATCACCCTCAAATTCAGACTTAAAGAACTTAGAACTTCCAAATTTGGCAACCGATGCCGAAACCAACCAAACCACGTCCTTGACCCCAAATTTTGCTCACAAGTCATATTCAACACTAAGGACCTACTCCAACTTCCGGAATCGGTTTTCGATCCAGATATCAAAAATTCCAGTACCGGCCCGAAACTCCAAATATTCAACTTTCGCCATTTCAAATCTAAATGAGCTACGGACCTCCAAAACACAATCCGAACACGCCGCTAAGCCTGAAATCACCCAATGGAGCTAAGGAATCGAGGGAACTCCAATTCGGAGGCATTTTCACACTGTTTCGACTACGGTCCAAATTCTAAGACTTAAGCTCTTATTTAGGGACTAAGTGTCCCAAAACACTCCTAGACTCCAAACGAAACATCCGGACAAGTCACATTAGTAGAAAAAGATACGGGAGAAGCAATTAATAGGGGATCAGGGCGTTAATTCTTAAAACGACCGGCCGGGTTGTTACAATATGAGTGCACAAGTGAATCCTCTGATTCTTTTAAGTTGTATGATATTGTAGTTGTATATAATTGGGTAAAAATAATGTATGAAATTTATTTTTACTATGTATAAATCAGATACAAAATATACAAAAGACATACTGTATAAAATTTGTATAAAAATTGTATTAAGTGATATGATATTGTAGTTGTATATAACTGGGTAGAAATAATATATGAAAGTTGTAGATAAATTGTAGATAAGTTGTATAATATATAATTAGTTTTATGTAATTTATTTTTAATATGTATAAATGAGATACAAAATATATAAAATAATATTATATAAAATTTGTATACAAATTGTATTTAAGTGGGATTACAATTAATAATACAAACGAGAATCCACAAATCAAAACTAATTGGCGAAAAAATGGCGTTTCGCCGGAAAAGAATTAACTCGTCAGATTAATAATTATTTCTTCTTCTTTAGACAATTTAGGCATTCACTTCTCTTTACGTATTCAAGAAGAATTTTGGTGCGCACAACCCAATGATCCAAAGTCCCTACTTGTACATAGAGATCGGCTTCGAATTTTTACGTCAAAGTCGACGACTCCAAGCTATTTCCAACAAAATTGAGCAACACTTAATTGATTTTCAACACAAACATTTGAGCTTAGTTGAAATCAGATGAAGCTTCAACTTGAGGATAGAAAAAGATATAACGGAAGATCCGGAGAGAAAAGGAGAAAGATGAGAGAAAAAAGGAAAAAGGTATAACTAAATCCCTTGATTGAAGGCACTAATAATGGATTCCAGCCTTTTAAGGTGGAATGTGTATATTTTGTAGATAAAACTTGTTTAGGTCGGGTAATTAACTTAACGTGGACATTTTTGGTAATAAAGTTTCAAATAGTGTATAGGAATGTAAAAATCCCTTCATGCAATTATATTAGCCCATAATATTTATTTGGACTAATATATTTAAAATATAGTCCAAATTATTTTATTGAATTTAAATTCAATAAATTTTGCATGCCTACAAATGCCTCCTACTTCAAGACTTATCGGCAGAGGCGGACCTATGCTTGGGGGTGGGGGGCACGGGCACCCGTTGGCCTCGGTAAAAATATTGTATATATATATTCTATATATATAAGTTAATACAGGAAGGACCCTTCTAAATATATTATGCGGCACCCTCAGTCACAAAGACTAGATAGAAGAGTTGGTTTGTGGGAGTAGTTGGCTTCTTCAAGACTCAGGTTTGAATCTTAGGTCCAACAATCAAAATAATTTTTTTGATTGGGTCTCATTTGGTCAGGCCTTTAATTTAACGCATACTAGTACCCTTTTTGCACACGCCTACTAGTACCCTTTTCTCTCTCTTTGACATAAGGTTCTTCTAAACCCAAAACAAATTTCAACGCCTACTCCCTTTTCTCTCTCTTTGACATCAGTTCTTTCTTCTAAACCCAAACCAAAACAAATTTCATCCTTCACCTGTTCACCATCACGGCATCACCCGTTTCTTTCTTCAGGGATTAAGGCATGAAGCAGCTGCCGAATCTTTTTCTGGGTAAGATTTTAAAAATTATACTTGGAATTCTCCATCTTGTTTCCACTTTTCTAATGGTAAATTTCAGTTTCTAAGTTAGGGTTTAAAAAAATTCCTTTTAAAATACGATTGAGAAGGGGCTTAACTAGAAGGTTTTGCTTGCCTCTTATTTGTGTCTTGTTCTCACTTTTGGCTATTCTATTTTGATTGAATCTCTGAATTTTCTGTAATTTTTCTTGATTTTATTTAGGCTAGTAAAGCCTTTGATTTAGGCCCCAAAAATTTTAAGGCCCCAAAAGGTGTACTTCTTTTAGTTTTTGAATTTATTGTTTGTTCGACTCTCAAAAAATTAGAAACGGTAAGCTCTTTGATATAACTGCTTAAAATGCTATCTCTTTTTCAAAGTTGACATAGATTTTTGTAATCTTATACTACTTCACTTGTTAAATGTTAAGTTATTCGATTGAACTCATTAACCTTTGTCACTGAGCACTGGACACTTTTTGAGTTGCTGATTAATAGTTAACAAAACCCCTTTATTGGTACAAACGGAACCAATATTAGTTTGCTGTTTCTTTTTACTCCTCAGAAAGTTTGGTTGATTAATCATATTAAAAATATTATTTTGCTTGGCATTGTTGCTTTGTAGGAAGTTCTCTTGATGTGAATTGAGATGGACAAATTTTTGATGAGGTTTAATTCTCCTCAACCAAGTTCTAGTTTTAGAGACAATTCCTCCCATCTTGTCGAAGAGTTTGATGTGAAATCACTTAATACCGACCCCGGAGAGAGAATACCCATTGATAGATATAGCCCTAGAATACGGGATGAAGTGAGAAGACACTACATCCAAAGAGGGCCCTGCCAACCAGATCACAAATTTCCTAAAACTTTATTTGGGAAGAAAATGCGCCAATTTAGTTCGGGTTGGTTTAAAGGTTCGCATTCTAGATGGTTAGAGTATAGTGTGAAGAAAGATGCCGCATTTTGTTTATGTTGTTATTTATTCAAAAATGATTACGTTAATGGAAGCACAGGTGACTCTTTCACAAAAACCGGCTTTAAGGGTTGGAATAAAGCAACCGAAAGATTTGATCTACATGTTGGTGAAGTAAGTAATCTCCACCATAAGTGCTTCAACAATATGTTAGCCTTGTCAAATCAATCTCAATCAATTCAAGCTGCTTTTGAAAAGCAATCCGATCAACAAAAAACTGAATATCGAATTCGTTTAAATGCCTCAATTGATGTTGCAAGGTTTCTCTTGGACTTTGGATTGCCTTTTCGTGGTCACGATGAAAGTGAATCTTCAAAAAATAAAGGCCTTTTTCTAGGGCTTTTGGAATGGCTTGGAAATAGGCTTCCAGATGTAGATAGAGTTATATTAAAACATGCTCCAAAAAATGATATGATGACTTCGCCAAAAATTCAAAAGGATATTGTGAAATGCTTGTGCACAAGAGACCGTGAAAGCTATAATTGATGACTTGGATGGAGATTATTTTGGGATATTAGTTGATGAGTCCAAGGATATATCACACCATGGACAAATGACCCTTGCTTTGCGGTATGTTGACAAAAAAGGCCAAGTGAACGAGCCATTTATTAGTCTTGTTCGTGTTAGTGATACATCTGCAAAGTCGTTGAAAGATGCAGTACTTTCTTTGCTAATGAAACACTCATTAAGTCCATCCAAAATACGTGGACAAGGCTATGATGGGGCTAGTAATATGCAGGGAAAGATGAATGACCTTAAAGCTTTAATTTTGCAAGAAACTCCATGGGCATATTCTGTTCATTGTTTTGCACATAAATTACAATTGACGATTGTAGCTGTTGCTAAAAAACACAAGGAGGTTGAGACTTTCTTTGCTATTGTTACTAACGTGTTGAATATAATTGGAGCTTCTTTTAAGCGTAGAGATCAACTTCGGGATCATCAAGCAGAATTGTTGGAGCAATTGTTAGAGAGTGGTGAAGTTCAAAGTGGCGAAGGATTAAATCAAGAGCGGGGGCTTCAAAGGCCAGGTGACACTCGTTGGGGATCACATTGTAAAACATTGGATAACTTTGTTATTTTATTTTCTTCTATTGTTCATGTGCTAGGGGTGATTGAATGTGAAGGTGATGTTAATGATAGGTTGCAAGCAGAAGTTTTTTCTAGTTAATTAAAGCATTTGAATTTGTGTTCTTGCTTCACTTAATGTTGAAAGTATTGATAATGTCAAACGAGTTGAGCAAAGCATTACAGAAGAAAGATCAAGATATTGTCAATGCCATGGTATTTCTTGATAACACAAAGGAAAGGTTGCAAGGAATGAGAGATAAAGGATGGGAACCATTGATGGATGAAGTATATTTATTTTGTGCAAAACATGATATTTTGGTGCCCAAGATGGAAGAATTCTATATTCCTGGAAAGTCGAAGCGTAGGCCTTCTAGTGTTACTTATTCATATCACTTACGTGTTGAGCTTTTTTATGCCGTGATTGATTTGCAACTTCTGGAGCTTAATAGTCGTTTTGATGTTGTGAGTAGTAACTTGCTTCTTGGTATGGCTAGCTTGAATCCGGCTAACTCATTTGCTAATTTTGATACGGAAAGAATAATGACATTGGCCAAGCATTATCCCGATGAGTTTGGTAAATTGAAGCTTCGAGATCTTAGTCGCCAACTTGACACTTTCATATGGCATATGCAACATGGTGACCTAGGTTCTCTGATTTGAAAGGAATTGGTGATTTGGCGAAAGCATTGGTTGAAACAAATCTTGTAAAGACTTATTCACTTGTTTATTTGCTTGTGAAGTTGACTTTAATTTTACCTGTCGCAACTGCAACGGTGGAAAGAGCATTCTCATCTATGAAGTACATCAAAGATGAATTGCGTAGTAGTATTGGTGATGCATTTCTAAATGATTGTTTAGTTTGTTACTTTGAGAAGGAAGTGTTTGTAAATATAAGCAATGATGCTATTATTGACCGTTTCCAAAATATGAAAACGCGTCGAGTTCAACTATGAGTGGACAATATACTTTTGTTATATTAGTATCAAGTTAATGGTATGATAATATTGTTGTTTTTATTTTGATGAGAAATCATCATAGTCATTTCAAAGAGTTACACCCGAACTTTATTATTGGTGATTGGCATACTAAAAATAATGGTGCCCCCGTAACGCTTAAATCCTGGGTCCGCCTCTGCTTATCGGGATATTAAATCATTAGGACTAGGTTTGAAGTAATCATGCAACGTCAACTTTGAATACCACGTCAACTTTGAAGTCCAAAAACGTAGCTTGAGACTACTACGTCGATCATATTTAATTATAAACTAGTAGTCGTACTCGCACGATGTGCGGTCAATATTGAAAATCATTAATTGAGTTAAATTGTGATCGGGCTTGTTTGAGCATATTAGATCATATTGCTTTGATAAATTTCAATTGTCATCTTATTTGTTAATACGATATACCCAATAATAAAATCTCTATCAAAATTAAAGGGACTTATTGTATACGGTAAAATCAGAGGGCTCGATTTTATGATCATTAGGGCACCTCATAGGGACCGCCCCCGAAAGGCTCAGAGTTAAGCTCGGAGTTCGACCCTAAGGGTTTACGACGATCGGCCCCGAGGCAGTATGAAGCAACGATTATGACACGCTAGCGGGAAGATCCCAAGGACATGACTAGAGCTGACCTAGCCTATAAGCAGCTCAGAATAGTTGTACCAACCTCACATCTTTGTAATAAATGCACTTGTACCGTATTAGGATTCTCCTCATCTATAAAGGGGATCCTTGTCATTTTGTAATGGACAACACACTACATTCAATACAAGAACTTTCTTTCTGCTCTCTAACTAAAACATACTCTCTATTTGGTTCTATTGCTTACATTTATTGCTTTACTTACATTCATTATATTTCGTTAATTGTTCTTTATTTATTGCTCATCATTGGTCATAAAGAGTCGCAATCACAGCTGTAATAACTGTTAATTCTCTATCGACCGCCCATAATCGGGCATCCGACTCGACCTCGAGGCTCTGTATGCGCTAGTTCGAGGCCCCAATTTCCAACTATTCGGTTTGATTATCAAGCTATCTACAAGCTCTTATTCTATTTTCTAATCCTTCACTTAGCATCTATTGCCTAAACAACTAGCATAAAAATAGATCACATATTTTTAGAACCACAAAATCAAATCTAACTGTTATTGCCATTTTCAAGGTAAACAGTTTGGCGCCCACCGTGGGGCAAAAATAATAGTGATTATTTTCTTGATGGTTCACTACATACACAAGTTATCTTTCACACTTTTTCTTGTCAAAGATATTTTGATTTCAGGTCAAAATGTCCAACTCAGTAAACGCACACGAAAACAACAATCTTGAGGACCATGGCGAAAATGGTATAGCTGTTCCAAGTGTTGGTGTACCACCACGAAACCCTGAGGATGCGCAAGAACCAATTCCCGTGGACGCGATCTCGCGCGACGCTCAACACGTCGAAATAAACTCCCACACCAACAGGAGCATACACCAAGGAGATCAACAAAAAGCTCTAAAACCCCAGCTCAGGAAGAACAAGGGGTTAGCCTTCACGTCATCTTCAAGATGTTACAAGCACAACAGCTAGCGATTGCTCAGCTGTAAAGCCACCAGAAGACTCCCAGCACGGTAGCACCGGAAATAGCTCCCCAAGCCGAACAGGTACCAGAATGATCAAGCAACAACTGGTCGGCCGCCGACCCCGCCATCATAAAGATGCTCGAGGACCTCACAAAGAGTATCGAGTCGGGCGAGAAGAAGATAGAAGCCAACGACCAAAAGGTAGAGACCTACAATTCTAGGGTCGATCAAATTCCTGGGGCACCCCCGGTCCTGAAAGGTGTAGATTCGAAGAAGTTCGTCCAAAAGTCGTTCCCGCAGGAAGCGGCCCCAAAACCCATTCCAAAGAAGTTCAGAATGCCCGACCTTCCGAAGTACAACGGAACCTCAGATCCCAACAAGCACGTCACTGCTTACACTTGTGCAGTGAAGGGCAACGACCTAAAGGAAGATGAGATCGAGTCCGTCCTACTGAAAAAATTCGGAGAGACGCTTTCAAAAGGGGCGATGATGTGGTATCACAACCTAGCCCCAAACTCGATAGATTCATTTGCCATGCTGGCAGATTCTTTCATAAAGGTACATGCTGGTGCTCTCAAAGTAGCTACAAGGAAATCCGATGTCTTCAAAATCAAACAAAGGGAGAACGAAATGTTGCGAGAGTTCATATCTCGCTTTCAAATGGAATGAATGGAACTACCACCGGTCTCCGATGACTGGGTAGTGCAGGCTTTCACTCAAGGTTTGAACGAGCGGAGCTCGGTAGCTTCGAAACAGCTAAAGCAGAACTTAGTCGAGTATCCCGCCGTGACTTGGTCGGATGTCCACAACCGATACCAATAAAAAATCAGGGTCGAAGACGACCAACAAGGAGTCCCCTCGGGCTCGGTATATCCTAGCAGGCTTCCGGTAAAGGATTCAAATCCAAACAAAGAGAGATACCAACCATACACTGACGATAGAAGAAACGTCCCAAGGCGCAACATACCCCACAATGACCGAAGGATGGATCGAGGCCAGAACCTCGGGGACTTGTTAGCAGAGCCAGATTCGATAGGCACACAGAGCCGACGGAGGCATCCCGCTTGTCGGAATACAACTTCAACGTCGACATTTCAGACATCGTATTCGCCATCGGTAAAATCAGAGACACCAAGTGGCCAAGGCCTGTCCAATCAGATCCTTCGCAAAGGAACCATAACTGAGTAATGTGAATTTCACAACACACATGGTCACAGGACCGAGGATTGCCGACAACTCCGGGAAGAAGTAGCCCGACTACTCAGCAAAGGTCACCTCCGAGAACTCTTAAGCGACCGAGCCAAAAGTCAGTTCCGGGAAAGAGAGGCGACCAAGAAGAGTGAAACAGACGAGCCACAACATGTCATCCATATAATCTTCAGGGGTATCGATGCTCCACAAGAACCCATGGCCAGGAGAACGAAAATTTCCATCACTAGGGAAAAGTGAACTCGAGGTTACATACCCAAGGATGCCCTCACGTTCAGCGACAAAGACATCGAGGCTCTATCTCAGCCCCATAACGACACATTGGTAATTTCTTTTCTTGTAAATACATTTCAAATTAAGCGTGTGCTTGTGGATCCAGGTAGCTCGGCCAACATCATCAGGTCAAGGGTGGTGGAGCAGCTCGGACTGCTCGACCAAATCGTGCCCGCCTCTCGAGTCCCCAACGGGTTTAACATGGCAAGCGAAACAACGAAAGGGAAAATCACCCTCCCAGTCAACATGGCCGGCACGACCCAAAATGCTAAATTCCATGTCATCGAAGGAGACATGAGATACAACGCCTTGCTCGGTAGGTCGTGGATACACTGCATGAGAGCGGTACCATCAACCCTTCATCAAATGATGAAGTTCCCGACAAAAGACGGCATAAAAACCGTACATGGGGAACAACATGCAGCGAGGAAAATGTTCGCGGTGCACGAGTAGCACCGACACCTGCGCTCTCAACATCGAAAGAGCCAAAGGATAAGCAGACAGTGAAGTAGCAATCACGAGACACATCCTCGGCTACGCTCGAATAAAACAAACCAAGGACCATACTGCGTCATCATAACAAACGATCGAAGCGTATTAAGGTCCAAGGCGCCATCGGCACTAAGGTATAACCATCTTCCTTTTTTAGTTACATTTCACACTAACCTGTGTGCAGGTATCCGATCGAAACAGCCAAAGCACTTTCCGACTCGAAGGCCTTAGGTTCCAAAAGCATACGTTGCACTCTTTTCCTTCGACCGGGTTTTTATCCCGATAAGGGTTTTACCGACAAGGTTTTTAACGAGGCAACATCTATATGCTACCTAAGGAAGACTCAACAAGTATTCAAGGCTTCTCTTCAAATCAACCTCGAATACTAGGGGGGGGGGCATCCCCGGGAAGGTCACCTCCTCGGAGAAGCCAAGATGTGCTGGATAAGGTCTCCATAGGAATATGATGTACCGGGCCAAACGGTCGAACGAACCGTGTCCGTATAGAATAACCAAGCCATTGACAGCGAACACGTGTATACATGTACCAAGTAATCAAAGA